AATAATTCGATGCTGAACCTTATCACCTTTAAGCCTTATCAACGTATAATTTTTTTGTAATTAAGTTACATACGCCAAGTATTACATCGTTTCACAATGTTGTCAAAGTTTTGATGTGTTTCTGCTTTTTATCAAAGAAATCTTCTATGGCTATTATTTTGCTATTGTCAGCATACATTTTAAATGAGATTCGCACAAATTCTGGATAGTTGTCTCAAACACCAAAAAGTGCTGAATCTGTCACTGCACAAATCCACTGGTTTTTTTCCCTTTGCATTACTTTATCAAAGAAAACCTGTTATGCCAATTTATATAGATCGGAACTTAATTGAATATAATGATAATGCTACTTTGATAGCTATTGGAACAAAAATCTTATTGCGAAATTATAAATGTGATGACAGAAAAGGTGGAAAGCGTGTCAAGCCATGAATAATTTTAAAAAATATTGCTTAATTTCAATTATTGTTTTTTTTTTTTTTTTCACTCCATATTCACTGTATATATATCTAATCCCCTTTAATAAAGCACATCCTATTATATCCTTGTTAGCTCCCTATGTCGTATCTTCAAGCATCTTAATAAATAAATCTTTATGCAATATTTAAATACCTGATAATTTCCTCGTGTATCTCGTTGCACGTACAGTTCGAAAATTTTAGCAAAACTGACTTGTGTCTTAAAATAAATTCGGTAGCATATTATTTTATATTTGAAAAATAAGAATCTAATCCAAATGAAGTTTTTCTAAGTTTAAGACTTTCATATTTTTTATCAAACTGGAAGAATTATTCATTCTACTTAGATAAAGAACTGCTCTACAAACATGGTTTTGCAATCCTTGTAATTTGTTTGGTTTTGTTTTAACTTTTTGTATAAGCCCTCAATATATTAGCAAACGATGGCTATGAATTAGACTGACTAAGATTTTTTTTTCTTAAAAAAAATCAAGAAATGAGAAAGATTTATGTAAAATACCTATTGTAAATGATATTTTTGATTTAATGTGGCCAAAATGATTTCAATATGATAAATTTTCGTCTATTTGAACTTCAAAAAACTTGGTATATTTTTCCCGTTTTAATTTTAGTGAAAAACTTCTGAATTTTTTATGGTAGAGATATTGATTGACTTGTTTTATGAAATAAAATGTAGTTGGTTTTTTTCACAGTTTTACTTTAAACCACAAAGTTTTCCAGTTTAGTATTCATCGTTTCTCATTCATTCGCCATTCAGTTCTCATTCATTCGTTATTCATTCATCGTTCTGAACGTTGATTTGAAATTACTTTGATTATAAAACAAAGTTGTATCATCAAATTACATAATAGAAGATACTATAGACGATACACATATCATTGATGTAAATTAAAAACAATAACGGTCCTAAGATTGAGCCTTGAGGGACCTTACGTTTTATATCAAGAATACTTGTCACCTGGTTTATTACAAACTGCTTCCTGTTTTTAAGATTTTTTTGTTTTTAACCTATTTATATGTTTGTCTTTTGATGCCATGTTTTAATTATGATAGTAAGATGGCCAGGTCAACTTTATCGAATGCCTTTGAAAGGTCTATAAATACTCCCAGAACATGCTCTCCTTTATAAAAATATTGAAATAATTTATTTGAAAGTTCAATGATAGCATGCTCTGTTGAGCAACTATCTTGGAAACCAAATTGATTTTTATATATAAGTTTGTCTAGCTTTAAGTAATTATAAATTCAATTGTAGATTACTTTTTCATAAATTTTAGAAAACACTGGTAGAAGGGATATTGGGCTATATATAGCTATAGCTATAGTTATAGTTATACTATATATAGCTATACTATAGCTATAGTTAGACATATTAAAAAAACAAAAAAAAAACTTAGTTTTCAATAAAATTAAAGCAGGCGTTTTATAAATTAGATCTGAGTGTTCATAAAAAATTCAAATCAAAAGAAGTTATCAATAATGACACCATGTAACTCAAAATGTTTGAATAAAGAATCAAATCTGCTAAAAACAAAAATCATTTTTGACATATTCACCGTAACGCAAGTAGGTTTGATATTTTGTTCGAAAATTTTTATGACAAATATAAAAAAAAAAAATTTCAAAATTTTCAACATTTCAAAATTTTTTTTTCAAATATTTTTATGATAATTATGAAAATTTGTGTTCAAATTTTTATTTTAATAATATTGTTTTTAATTTCCTATTGTGTTTTTTTTTTTTTAATTTTTTGTTTTAGTTACCAGGATGCTCTGTGAAAATCTAACGATCTTATAACACAGCACCATTGAGGAGCATTTAACCACAAAGTTTGCGCCTTCTTTTTTACTTATGCTGCTTGTTTGGCTAGAGTCGGCATCAAACTCTTGGTTCTCACTAACTCTAAACACTTCGCCATGGCTGCAAAATTTTAATTTTTTATAATATTTTTATAATATCATTAACAAAAAAAGTATAAATATTGTATATATATATATATATATATATATATATATATATATATATATATATATATATATATATATATATATATATATATATATATATATATATATATATATATATATATATATATATATATATATATATATATGATGAGTAAAAAATGCGTTGCGTTGAATTACTGGATCAAAAACTTTATTCAGCTCGTCTGTGAGGTAGCGTGATTTCAGTATTGTATTATGGACATGTCGAGCGCCATCTTTACATGAAGAAGTATTTTTTATTTCAAACCATGCTGGTGCATAAACTGTTACGATGAAGGTAACCATTGTCTTCAGTTCATCCGATGGGCATCTTGTGGCTATATACAGGCGTAGTATTCGATTAGCCGTTGTTAACCATCTTGAATGATTGATAACACCAGGATTGCGAAGTGAAAGGCCTACAGGAAAAACGCCAACACTGACAGCGGTGCACAAGTCAAACAGATATTTTTGATCTGTACTTAAATCGTCAGAATTTAAACCTGTCGGTAGAACACAGTTTATGGGTGTGTATTTGACACGGGAAGCTTCTCACATGCCACCAATGATTTTCCGATTGGACCAGAAAATCCTTTTGGACCATTGGTAGGTCCATCTAGATGTTCGAACAAATGCCTTAACGCTAATTCGTTAGCATGTAGCTGACATACGAACCATTGCAGCGGTTTGTTCAACGCCACTTCAAGTAATCGAATGATACCTCCTCGATTGCCTGTATTAGCAACGGTTCCGTCACAACCTACAGCTTTTATACCACCCAGGTCAACATTCTTTTTACTCAAATATGCAATCAACTCAGCCGCAATAACTTTGCTTGACCCTGCAATTGGTGTAATGTGGCCAAAATAGATGGATCCTGGTTCGGATATAATGGATATATGTTCTTCAGTTGTTAGTTTTCGATGAAATTTCCCATCACATTCTTTAATAAGGGTTATTGTACTGCCTTTTCTTCCATCAAAATATAGCCCAGTAATTGTGTTACTGACATTGGCACATAATGTTCCACGTTTTTTACAACGCCCTCGTCGCACTTTACTTCTGTCAATCACTTTAGAAACATCCCTTTCGTGGATTATTCCAACAGAAGAACAGCACTGGCGATTCCTGCTGCGGCCCTGTCGGATACACCATGTCGATCACATGCTAACGCCAGAGATGGTAACTTAACTCTCATCTGCTTGTCACTCAACTTTCTAAATTGTTCATAGGATCCGCCATACAATCTTCATCAGATTCGTCATCGCTAGCACAAGTTTTCTCTTCCGTAGAAGAAAACTCCTCACAAACATCTGACTGTTTCTCACTGATGTCATCAATGTCAGATTTGCTGCACATCTGTCTCTGCGTCAACTCTTTACGAGTATATCGTTTTTGCAATTTGATGGATTCGGCCTCATCAACTTTAGCAATGATCATACTTCGTGGACCCCGCTGATCTTCTAGAAAATCACGTTCAATTGCGGGTATCTTTCTTGACTTTTCACACTGACACTAAGATATGAAAGAACACTTGCAGGAGCAAATGTCAAAGAGTTTTTTGGATTCATTTTTAAACTGAGATATTTTCTCTCGGTATGGTTCGGAGTTTTCTCTAGACTTATATGGCTTCAGCAAATTCATGAACGTCTTGTGGTACTTGTTCAACATTTCTTGGACACGGCGGTGGCTTACATGTGGTATAGAAGCTTTGTCCCATATTTGTTCCACTTTTGTTGTCACTATTTCTGCCACATTGTGATGTGGTGGATCTTTATTGTTCAATTCATATTTAAGTTTCTGTTTTGTCAGATTGTAAAACTTCATAACATCTGCATAAGTAGGTAGTTGATTGTCAGGCATTTCAGAGGAAGCATCAAAAATGACACAAGATACTTTTGTCCTGGTTACAGCCATTAAATATGAATTGTTATTATAAATGAATTAAAGTATTATCTTATATGAATAAAATGTTTTGCAATAAACGCTGTTTGTTTACTCTAGACAGGAAAAACGCACGTGAATACGTATAAAAGTGAACTACAATAAAAAAATACCGAATAGTAAATGCTTATAAATGGTTAAATTTTGAAGTTGGTTGTGGAACCTCAAGACGTTACCTAAATTAATTTTTTTTTACGGAGTAATTGATTGTATCACAGAGCAATTTTTAATAACTATCCAAAGTCAAGCAAATCAAAAAAAATATATGTGTGTGTGTATATGTGTATATATATATATATATATATATATATATATATATATATATATATATATATATATATATATATATATATATATATATATATATATATATATATATAATGTTTATAACTTAATTTTAATTTTAAAACATAATAGGCCTGCTTTGATTTTATTGAAAGGTAAATTTTTACAAAGTTTTTTACTATAAATGAATTCTATAGCACTTTATACCTGTTTTTGGGTAAAGTGAGACAGGGTAGTTGACATTTTGAAATGAACTCCGCCTAATAACACAAAGCTAAAAATATTTAAAAGAAAATTAGACACAAAATGTGTTGGTGGGCTTTAATGTTTCTTTTTATAAACGTGATTACACCTGAAGTTATAAAAATTCCCTCAAAACGTTTTTTACTTTGCACAGATTACGCTATGTTTAAACTGGTATCAATTAAAAAAACTTTGAAAAAAATAAAATCATAGTAACAGTAGTTATAGGTTCACAACAAACGTTCAACAAAATATCACCTCAACTCCCTATGTGAGAGGAATAATATTTTGAAAAAGCTTCGTGGGCTATCTTTCGTTAAATCAAAATTTATCAATAGAATTCAAACTTTTATCAAAAAACGTCCTTTGCAGAAGTTAATTAATTTAAATTGAAAAAATTTGACTAGAATAAACTTAAAAAATCTTTAAATATTCTCATAAAGTCTACATAACACTCATAAGTCTACATAACGCTTTTTATGTCATTGAGTTCCTCTTACAATTTAAATATTCCAAAATATTTAAAGAGAATATTCATGGTCATAATATCGTTAACAAAAATCTAAGTAGAAATTATTGCAGTTTTCTGATCCGCTTTGATAATCAGCAAATATCTTTTGACCATCAACTTCAAACGTATTCCAGCTTTTGCTTTTAATTTTTAGATAATTGAATTTACACGCAAGCTTTTCAGTAACAGGGTTTGCTGCAAATATAGTGGCACATTGTGTTTCAACATTTCTGGCAATCTAAGAAATAAAAAGTGTCAAGATAACTTCAATTAGTTTCTTGGTTTTATTTTCTAACTTTTTCTAAAATAAAAAAAATATTTGTTGTTAACATTATTTAATTTTACAAATCGGATATGGAAATGCGTGTGACTAGAATTGGTTATCACAGCGTATCTGACAAATGTTATATTAAGCACACAAACAACTGATATTGAGCACACAAACAATAACTTTAACCCTTCGACTGCGGCAATCAATTATGACCATTACTGCAAAAAGTTATTACTTTTCTAAATATCATTCATTATTTATGAAAGCTTAAATTTTTTCTTTATAAATTTTATAGATGTTAAAAATAAAAAAGGCATACAAATTTCAAAACAATTTTTTTCTTTCCATTTTCGGTTTTTTTAGTTAAATTTTTCTAAATATCTTATAATTTTATCAAGCAGTCAAAAGGTTAACATCTTATATCTATTGTTGACATAACAAAGAACAAGAATAAAACTCTCTATGCCAAATTGAGCCAAAAATCTGTTGAAATAAATTGAGAAACACTTTCTCCTGTAACCTTCAGTGCAGATACGTGCCATCTTACAGTAACAGATCGCACCCCGACGACCAAATTGTAAAACAAAAATCATGTTATAAATCTTATAAAAATAAAATGAACAAACAAAAAGCTTAAATTAAAATAATTTAATGCATAATATAATAATAGTATTAATAGTAATATATTCAAACTTAAACAGACATTTTTACTTAGTCAGCACTTTAAATTTCGTTTCTCAAGTTTATTTTACTGCATTTACATCATCAAAAACCAAAGCTTCTGCAGTCAAAAAATATTACTTTGTTTTTGCTTTAATTTTTTTTTCAATCGTTTTTCAACCCTAAAACTTCAAAAAATGAACATGACCGTTGAGAAGTAAGCTGATTGTGATACAATAAGAGACACGGTGAGTGGTGACGTGGTGACGTGGTGACGTGGTGACGTGAAGAGACACGGTGAGTGGTGACGTGGTGACGTGGTGACGTGGTGACGTGGTGACGTGAAGAGACACGGTGAGTGGTGACGTGGTGGGTATGAAGTTCAGTCGTTCTCGAGAAAAGGATCTATTTTTTCCTTTAAAAGAGTTAAGCAATACTGCGTTCAACTGTGGAGAGTCTTTTTTAATATGAATATATTGAAATAGACTCTATGATAGAGAATCTATTTCAATATGATTTTTTTTTTTGCTGAATATAACTATTATATCTATAATAAATAATAATAATGTCTATTTAGTTTTTTTGATTAAATCTAATATGCTATTTAACAAAAATACAAAAGCTGCAAAATCTTCTTACAAACAGTGAAATCCATTTTTTCTATTCTTTACTCATAATTTCTTTAACTGCGGTAGTGGTGTAGTGGTAGAGCGCTCGTCTCATAAGTGAGAAGTTCCGCGCTCAACTTGTTTCTCCGCGCAGCGGCCTTGCTCGTCAAGGTTTGTGTTTCGGAGTTATAGAGTTGAAAAAAGGGTTGTAACCGCAACTAAAGTAGCCTCCTCGACTGTAGTGGTCTTCATGATCTTGAGGAGGTGAATTGAAAAAAATCAAAAAAAAACAACCTAATCGATCTTGAATCACGGTGCTAAGAATTTTCTAAAGTGTTAACTTTATTTAAGTATTTTGTTAAATAGCCTTAAAAAATATTGAGACCCAAAAAGTGTTAAAGGTGTATCTGGATTTAAAGCGTGTAATTAATTCAAGTAAGTTTTATATATTTTTTGATCAGCTACCTGTTTATTTATGCAAAAAAAAAAAATTACTATTAATTAAAAAAAATTAATGGCAACATCACTATAAAAACTATTTTTAAAATGTTCCAATAGGTTCGATTGAAACAAACTTTTAATAATGGCTGATTCCATCTTTATTTTATCTTTAAACGATAAAAAAATAAAGATTCCCTTTTAGATACACAATTTTTTAATAAACAAAAGCGTTGAAACACATAAAAAAAAAATATTTATCCATCAAGCTATTCTTAACTATTCTTACGCTAAAATAAGTTAAAAAGTAAACCAACAGTTGAAGTAGGATTTACAGGAAAATGTTGGATATTTTATTTATCTTCAAAATGCTAACAGCCATTTTTATTTTTGTAAAAAAATGGTTTTTAAACAGCTGGATTATTTTTATTAGCATAAACCATGTAAAATTCATTTAAACTTTTATGTAACTTGTTGTTTAAAAACAAAAAACTAATGTTTAAGATAAAAGTTTAAAAAACTCTCCTATGCAGATTAATAAATAAAAGTTTACAAAACTCACTAAACTAGGTTAGTAAAATATTCAAGTTGGTTTAATTTTCAATTTAAAATGATAAAATTTTTACGAAAAAATATTTAGTCGAGAACACGTAAGTAAAATAGAAAAGAAAATATCAAGAAATATTTACTTATTATATGAAGCTAAACAATTATTAAAACAAAAATGTTAAAAAAACACGCTTTTTTACGTAAATGATGAAAACATTAAGCTAGCAGTGCTTAAAAGAAAATGATGGTGCTTGGTACAGCACCAACGCAAACAAGATAAAAAAACTCCTCAGTAAACAAAAACTCACTATACGAATTATTTCAAACGTAAATTGTTTAACGCCATCAAATGATCTATTTACTAAACTAAAAATACTCAATGTTTATCAACTAAACATTTATCAGATACTCACTTTTATGTATAAATTTGATGAAAAAGTGACATTTCTAATATTTAAGATCAATTCTAAAAAAATAAATCATGTTCACTCCACTAGACTTTTAAAATTGAACTGTATTCAACCCAAACGTATTGTACAGCCACCCAACTCACTATTGCAAATAGACGACCCAAATTATAGAATACTATACTTAATAACGATATCAAAATACTATATCTCTTAACTAATTTGAAAAAAACAATAAAAAATACTTTCAATTGATAATAAATTAAGTTAATTCTAAACAGATTAGGTAATTTAACAAATTAGATAATTTTTTCTTAACTTATTTCTTTTTTTTTTTTTTCTTCTGCAAACAAGCTGCCTGCTTTGGTCTGTCTAGCTTAATTTTGGTCCTGCCTGGTTTTGGTCCTGTTTAGATTTTTTCTCTTTTTGCTATGATTAACGTAAAATAGTGTAAACATAACTCATAATACCATTTTAAATTAATGATTTATAATTTTAATTAATAATTTTTATTTGTTATTTTAAAACATTTATTTTATTTAAATATTTATAAAGAATATTTTCTCTCAACCATTTATTTTCAGCCATTTTTCTTCAGCCATTTTGAGATTGTTTTGCGGACATTGTTAAAACGGCGAACTTCTTCAATAAGATTCTCTTTGTTAACATCTCTCGGGCCGTGCATGTTCTCAAGCTTTATTTTGAACGGAAATACCATCGTAATCCAACCAGATGAAAGAAAACATATTGCCAACCATCCTGCTTGCATAAAATCTTGAATAAATCAGCTGGATCAGACTATCAAAACCAACATTAAAAACGTTTAATTTGAATTCTTTGGTTTGCTGTCGTATAAATAGGCTGTGAATGATGCGTCATTGTGAAAGCGTTTCAGTTTGTACTTTTTTTTAGTTGTGAGTAAAGTTTTAAATCCTAGCAATCCAGCTATAGCCTCTTGGAAAATTTGAAACCAAGAGCCTCTAATCCGTTTAAGATCTTCTAGCTGCTTTCCAATTAAAAGTAACTTGTAATCGATAGTAATAGCTTCAGATTGTAAAAGTCAACTAACATCGTTAACAGCAGTAAGGGTTTGTTTCCAAATTGTAATTAGCAATACAAAATCAAAAAATGATAACCAATTTTTTAACGTTCTTGCATAGCTGAGCTGCTTACTGGTCAGATCTACATTTTCCGTGACACGTTTAAGAGCTGTCAACATTTCTCTAGGCCTCTTGGCAAGTGGTCTGATTGTATCGGAATGACGGCTTCGTCTTTTCATAATCTTCTTAAGTCTGTGCAGTAAAATTTCTGTCGCTTAAGTGAGAATTTTACTTCGGACTGGGCTTGCACTAAAAATTACGTACGAAAATTGAACATTTTCAAAGAATACTTCAATATCAATGACTGATTAAACTGCGTTTTTACCAGCCAAGTTCAGTCTGTAAGCGCTACAGGGAACATATAGAGCTTCCAAATAATTTTGCTTTATTAAGGCTTAAGCTCTCTTGTAAGCACCTGGCACATTAGATTTATTGTCGTACCCCTAACCGCAACAGTTTTTGATATTTAAACCTAGTATTGCAATTAAATCGTTGATAAGCTTGGCTCCATTGACTCCTTTCTTCTTCTCAAAAGCTTCAAAACACAAAAATTGTTCTATAATTTGCCAACAATTAGTTTCTCTTTAATAGAGCAGAAAACAAATAACAAAGGCTATTTGCTCAGATGTATTAGAGAACCATTGACAAATTTGGTAAAGTAAATACCATCCTGGATTTCTTTGGTAGCTGCACTTTAGATAATACCACCACATTCTCTGATTTTGAAAAAACAAAGTGAGTAATAGGCTATCAATTAGGAACCCCTCTGGTTCATGGCGTCTTACATCTTCAAAGTGGGATGCGGTGGCAGGGTTGCGGAGACCAATAAGCTTCATACCGGCAAGAAAGTTTCCAGTTTCTTTCCCATTCACATGTATTTTTTCACCTGTAAACTTTATTGTATATGATAGTTATAAATAAATTATTACAATAATTATATAAAAAACTAAAATTGATATTGAGAAAAATTTATTATAAGTTACCTAGAAAAGCTAAATTCCTATTAGCCAAGAAAAGGTTGACATCCAAAATTCCATGAACAATTGTCCTTCATTAGGCTCAGAATTGATTTGCTTATGGAGTTTTTCATCTATGCCACTGTAGCTGATAAGACAAATCATTACTCTTGTTAGTACACGTAGAACTTTTGGTGCATTAGGCTGGATTGATGCTGCTTCACGTAATCTATGAGTTTCCTTGATTGATCTCTAGCTCCTTCATTTCAACGATGAAAGGACAAACTTTAAAATTATTACATCTCAATCTCAATCAGGTTCCCACTGATCCTCCCCATTGGTACTTTGAATCACACATATTGAGTGCAAAAGTTGGTCTTGAAAAAGGAGAGGATCTCATTAGTTTTTATTAACTCTCATAGACTGAATGAGAATTATGGGTCATGGACTGACTTGGAATATATGGTTATTATTTTCGAGATGTGAAAAAGTTAGTAATAACAACAAAGATTATAATACCAGAGGTTGTTTAAAGAAAAAATGTGTAATACATCAAGCAGTTAAAGGCTTAATTAAGTTCGGAAAAGAGGTATTTTCTTTGGTCTGTGTTATGGTTATAAATTTTATATCCTTCTAAAGTCTGTCAATTTTTTGTGTCTTCTGCTTCTTATTTAGTAGCTTTAGCATGGTTTTGAGCACCGGAAGATTTCATTTGACCCATTTTTTAGAAATACCTAAAATGTTTTGTAATTTAAAGTTAGTTTTTAAAAAAAGGTTTTAATATTATATTTTTACATTTATACAGATTGGAAGTTTTGCTCAAAAAATAAAAAAAATTTTATTAGATAATTTGATATAAGAACATAAAATGGTTGTATATTTTGTACTTACGGTTTTGGCGTTGGAGTGGTTGCAACAGTAATTGCTTCTTGCGTATTTGCTTTTTTTTTCGTTTAAAACTCTTCTTTTTTTTTCTCCTTTTTTTCATTTTTGAAGATAACAGACCATTACATCAATTCCCAAGGGACACTCCGTTATAAACAAAATAATAGCTTTTTTTTTACTTAACTTGGCAACAGCAAAAATTACAATTCAAAAAAAAAAAAAAGTGTTTTTTCAATTTTTTAGGTGCAAAAGAAGTTTTTATAGTCTTATCACAGAGCACCTCATTTCTGAGCGATTGAGAGATCGGTTAGAATATATGGCTATATTATATTATATGGCTCATATATGGCTCCAAAGCCAGAAATGGCTTTGTACCACCGATAAAAAATCTTTTTTAAATTATCAAGCAAACTAATTAACTTTTAACTATCAACTATAACACTAAATAAAACTTAACATCTATCAATCAACTTATTTAATCAACATCAACTTTAATCCTAATCATAAAGAAAAAGCCTCTCTTCAGCAAGTTTCACAAATGCATAGAATTGAAATTTAGATTTTTCCACCAACGATTTAAGCAAAAAATTGTTTTTTTTTTCTATTGGTTTTAAAGTCAGCGAGGTGTTTATTAATAGAGGAAAAATAGAGGAAAAAGATATGATAGTTTGAGAAACTGAAGGAAAATTGCGTATTAATTATTCGGAGGAAAAGATTGAATATGAAGAAAATATGGACAAAAGTCTAAAGAAATATCGAAGTTCTTGAAATACTCATTGTTTTGATATGAAGTTCTGCGGTTACATAAAATATAAATGTTTGTTGCGAAAAAACCCAGACCGAATATATAAAAAAATCATCTTAAAATCACAATCTAAATTTAAAATAAGATTTTATGTTAATACGTTTTTTAGGTGAAACGAACATTATAGTTTAACAAAATGATTTGATCTGATCGTTCATTGGTAATTTTCCATAATTTCAAATTCTTTCTCGGTCGGAATTCTAGTATTTTTTGTGAAAATTGATAGAAATATTGTGTTTTGACAACTATATATAGTTAATATGCGTCAGAATCGATTAGAACTAGGATCAGTAGTAATTTAAGGAACTTTTTCAAAAGATTTTAACAAAGTTCATGTTAATGCCGATGAGCGGAATTGATCTAAAGACTTCAAAATGGTGTTCTTTAGATTCACTATTACGGGTAGTAAAAAGGTTTTAAAAATTATATATAAAAAAAGAAAAGTTTTTTTAAATATTATAAAAACCTTAAGCAAAAAAAATTATAAAATTTAAAGATCTTATTTGAACATAATATGCTTACAAAACCATTCCAAATATAAGTATTTGAATATTATGTAAATCGCCTTTACTACACCGAGTAATAAGAAATAAAAAAATACAGTTTTTTTTTTTTATAATTTACAATAAAATATAAATTGAAATATATAATATTAAAAAAAAAATACAAGAACAATTTTTAATTAACAAGTTGATAGTTTAAATTTTTATTTTATAACAAAACATTATTTTTTTATTTTTTTTTTTTTGTTATATTTAAGTGCCCCAAGAAGTCCACACGGTCTTATCACAGCGCACCTCGGATTACCAAAATTAGGGTTGTTCGCCGTAAACAAAAACTTACGAAAATTTCGTATTTTTATCTTCCGTATTTTAGTTTTGCATTGATTATCGTGCACCCCATCTCTGGAACAAAGTTTTTTTGCCTAATTTTAATTTTGATCTACCTACTTCTTTGCATCTTTTTAAAGTTAAGCTGAAAAATCTTTTTCATTACCGTATTATCAAAATTTGACAATAATATTTATATTATGGAAACATTTATTAAAATTTATTATCTATACTACAAAGTGATATATGTTTGTATATTTTATTTTTATTTTGTTGTACTTATAGTTACTTTATAACCTAATATTTTGTTTACACCAGTATAAGGTTCTGACGATATGATCTTACTGATCTTCTTTCAAATACCTAGCTTTTTAAATGTTAGTAGTATTTGCTTTCAACTTTTGTATAGTCCTGGTGAGCTTCTATGTTTAAATTATTTCTAGGGGCGAAGAAGCGTGGAGGAGTCGCATTGTACGTGCTTGCTTTTTTGCTAGAAAATCTTGCAACTAATTTTTTACTCCTCTACCAAAAAGCATTGTTTCCCCATTCATTAATTTTTTTAACATTATTTTAAAAAATAAAACCTTAAAATGTTCATATGTTGCCATACTGAAAATAAAATTTTGTTATAATTTTATTTTGGTATATAAAAACTTTATTTTTTACTATTATATCCGTTTTGCCAACAAAATTTTTTTATAGACTTCAAAACGTCTTTTAGCGAAAGAGCTCGTTTCGCAAGTGCGATTTCCGTAAGCGCTACTTTCGCATGTTGCAAAATAGTTTTATTTCGTAATTCAACTTGCGAAAGGCTACATTTCGTAAGAAGCATTTGCGAAATGAACATCGACGGTTTTTTTTGTTTCGAAAAATTCAGTGCAAAAAAAAAATCTCCTGATTCTCAATATTCTTCCGAAAGAATTTTATTTTTCCGGAGTTGTACAAAATCTTCCGGTTAACAACTCTAATCGAAACTCCAAATTTTTCTCGTCTCCGACGGAGTTATATCTGGATTTCTCTAACTCCGTTTTTTCTCAATTTTGAATCTTTTGTCACCCATGGAACGCACTATCTAACAAACTTGTCAGTGGTATCAGTGTTGACTGCTTCAAAGAAAAGTTTAATCATTTACCATTATAATTACTACAGGGCATTGTCTTCCTTGCTATCAAGCACGAGGTAGCATGCCTAACTGTTCATAGGCTTACAGAACATGCCCGATTCCATTTAATTCAACTACAAATAAATCCTTTTTTTTGTAAAATATAGTTTATAATTAATAATGATAATAGAATTTAGGAATAATGTTTATTTTTTCATGTACATTTACATTCAGAGTAATAAATTTTTAATCTTAAATGCAAAAACTAATCAGATTTCATATTGCCAGTGATTAAAGTATTTTCTATTTTTTCAAACCAACGGGTTGCCAGGCACTTCAAGCTCAGCGCCCGTGTAAATTTTCCCCCTTTACTCCTTCCTCTTAAAGGCCCTGAAATTGTGTTCTACTAGTATTTTTAGATATAATTTTTGCGACGTGCGTTGATTTTACGCTACTTTAGATGTGGAAGTTGGTAATTTTTAAAATTTTATACTGTTGGAGACTGTAAACGCAAAAAAAAAAAAGCATTTTGCTTGATTACATGACCATCTGGTCACGAAATCAAGCAAGTAAAGTTTATAATTTTTGTCACGTTTGTGTAAAAATAAAAATGTAAACTTCATAATTTTGTCTCTCACGCAGAGGTGTCTCGAGGGGGAGGGCGTAACAAATGTCTAACGAAATATATTAGTCGGAAAATCGGACACTAGAGTCGGTAAAATTGGATCTATAGTTGTTAGTCGAGTGCCTTTATTTTTTTTTAAATCTTAGGCGGCAAAAAAAATTTTCTACGCCTTAGTCGGCAAAAAAAAAGATACGTCACCTCTTTCTCCTCCTTAAAGATCTCTTCGGGATACATACATACATACATATATATATATATATATATATATATATATATATATATATATATATATATATATATATATATATATATATATATATATATATATATATATATATATATATAATAATAATAAATATAAAAAAGATATTAAGTTAAAACTCCCAGGAAAAAAAGTTCTATAGAATTTTATATAAACTTAATTCTATAGAGTGTTAACTTCTATAAAAACTCCTATTGAAGTTTTTTTTCTACTTTTTTTTTTATAGAAAAAAAAAGTTTTATAGCAATTTGTATAGAAATTAATAGACATTCTATAGAAATTCTATAGAGTTTCTATAGGCCAAATGATTCAAAAGTTTATAGAAAATTTTATAGAACTTTTTTTCCTGGGCTGATACCTTTAAGGAATACTTAAGTAAGTTAAATGCAATAGATTTTTGTCTGAACACTCTTGAAACACCAATTGCATATGAATCAAAAATCCTTTGAAGTGACGGTATTTTTTTAAGCAGCAAATGGTTAACGTCAGCCATATCAGTGCAAATATGATTTATGATTCGAAATAGATCAAATTGCTTTTCAGCATCGTATATGGATTCTTCAACATCAGTTTTAGATGTTCTAAAAATTTTGGAAACTTTATTTATTAACGTAAAGACAAGCGTTTGACAATAACATTCCAATTATTATTTTATACACAATTAAAACTAATAAACTGCAGAACTAGTAAACTGCAGATTCGAGAATCTTTTCGATCTCCACTTAACGTGGTAAACATATAAAGAAGAAGTGTTTCACAAATACTGTATTTTTTTTAATTTGAATTTTTTTTATTTTTGCATCTTTATCACTTTAAAATTGGACTTAATAAATTTGAAAACTGTTGTGTTTGTGTTAAAACCTCGCTTTCGTTTTTTAGTTTGTTAGTTGTACACTAAAAACTAATTATGAAACATTATAACTAATTACTAACTTTTAATTTATTAATAACCAAGAAATATACTTTTTTTTTGTGAAACAGAATAAAATCAAATAGGGTACTCTTTAAGTAACGGTTTCTTTTGTTAGTAACTTTCACTTATAAGGTTTAAGAACCTTTATGGTCCTGAAATGATAACGAGCAGTTGATAGTTATTTAAGTTTTATAGCAGCGGTAAAGTAAATTTTAAAAATTGACCTTTTTAAATCTATAATAGTATTAATTTGAAATCCAACTATGTTGTTTGTTTTTTCGTCAACTGCAATTATGCTGACCCCATCTTGAAAAGCTTCTCGGAGTTGCATTTCCCAATGAAAGCTTCTTGTAGTTACACCGAAGCGCGAAATAATGAACTTGTTGATTGGCACATCTAAAAATTAAAAATTATTAAAAATAAAAATAGTATCAGCTATTAATAACAATTTTATAAGTTTTATTTAATTACAAGTTTACAAGTTATGTTACTTCTTAGAGATACTCAACAATAAGAATATAAGTTTACAAGTTATGTTACTTCTTAGAGATACTCAACAATAAGAATATAAGTTTACAAGTTGTGTTACTTCTTAGAGGTACTCAACAATAAGAATATAAGTTTACAAGTTGTGTTACTTCTTAGAGGTACTTAACAATAAGAATATAAGTTTACAAGTTGTGTTACTTCTTAGAGGTACTCAACAATAAGAATATAAGTTTACAAGTTGTGTTACTTCTTAGAGGTACTCAACAATAAGAATATAAGTTTACAAGTTGTGCTACTTCTTAGAGGTACTCAACAATAAGAATATAATTTTACAAGTTGTGTTACTTCTTAGAGGTACTCAACAATAAGAAGGAATATATTAAATTTGATCTCTAGCGCATATTACATTAGGTCTTGGGATATTATATCTGGAAAGAACTTGACATTCGGTCTGAAAAATAATTAAAAGTACTTAACATTAGGTCTGGAAAATATTTAACATCTGCTCTTGAAAGTACTTTACATAAGATCAAAATAAGTTTTATTTAGTTCGACAACTTTTAGTTTTTTTTTAATTTTTAAAACTAAAAGTTGTTTTAATTAAAAAGTTTTTCAATAAATTACAAAATTAATACAAATAGTTTCTAGAACTTCAAGTTTATAATATTATATATCAAGCTTATAATATCATAATATATATAATACCAAGACAAACGTAAAATGTCACTAACTTCTATACTATTTTCAACAAAAAAGCAAAAATAGAAATGTGAACAAATTTAAGTACCTTCTGTAAAATCTCCAAAAAACATGTTAATTACATTGATCATTTCCGACTCGCATTCAATATTTTTATAAATAATTCCATCGATTGTTTCTCTTAAATATGATCTTATTAACATTTTTACTTGTCTTTAAATGAAAAAAAAAAACATCAAATTTATAACTTTAAAAAACATCTGCGTTTAACCGCGGAGAGTATACAGCCATAAAATCAAATGATACCCTCACTAGTTAGAGTTTAATTTAAACTGTCATATGTTATGCGGGAAAGCATATAAGTGGAAATTGATTTATGATTCGAAATATGACGTGAAATTTTTTTTTTAATATTTACTCATACATTTAACAAGGTTATTACTATATTAGTACCAACTATTTTAAAATAAAAAAAAGTTATACTAAATGAAATTTAAAAATGAGATTAAAACTACAAAAAAACATTTTTGTTTAGTTGAGTCATATCAGTCAATTGTTCTTGTTTCATTAAGTCATATTATCCAATCATTCTTGTTTGGTGGAGTCATATTATTCAATCATTCTTGTTTGGTTTGTCATATTAGCCAATTGTTCTCATTAAACTAAGTCATATTAGCTAATCCTTCTTGTTTGTTTAATTCATATCAGTTAATTAAACTGGAGGATTAAAAGGTGAATTGGTTGCCACTTCTGTTCATTTGGGTTTTTGTTTACGTCTGGAATTTATTGTAACTCTAAAGAAAATAAGATATATTATTCAAGTCTGATCGACTACTATAATAAAGCTTTATTCAAATTTTTATAAATTTATTGTTTTATAATTACTTTTTAACTTAGAATAAATAAAGTAAACTGGGGTAAGAATAAACAACTTCGAATTCAATTTTTTTTTTTTTTAAAATACTTTATGGTTGTTTTTGTTTTTTTTGCTTGTTTTATAGAGAACTTTTTATATTATTTAAATATATAAAAATTAAGAAAACATATTTTGAAAATTAAAAAAAAAAAATAACTTTTATCAAAATAAAAAAAGGTTTCTTCTTATAATTGGGGAAAGGTAAACTAGTTAAATTTTAATAACCATTGATTAAGAAAATATCCTGTTATTCTTTTATTATCGCAAAACACTTACTTTTTTATTTTCTACGTAAAATATTTAACTTGTAAAAAAGCAACAACATCTTTTTACAGCGGTACTCGACGACAAGACCATACGGTCTTGTCGTCGAGTACCGCTGTTCCGCGTTCTTTATATATATATATATATATATATATATATATATATATATATATATATATATATATATATATATATATATATATATATATATATATATATATATATATATATATTAAATATCTTCACTTGTAATTGTTTATATTATTTTATTTTAGCTTGCATGATAAATGATCTTAAGTTAAGTTTACAAAAATAAATCTATTTTAATCAAACATACGAAATAAGCTATTCATTTATTAATTAAATTTGAGTTGTTTCATGGTCAAAAACTCTTCACAAATTTTGTATTTTTTGGGTAAACACTGCCGACAAACAAGGCTTGCAACTAAACGCTTCATATTAATTTCGAGTAAGCAACGCTTCTTCTTAAACTCTGCGATTTTTGAACATCTTGATGTTGTTACCTTGTCTCTAATTTTTTAATGTTGCAGTTACTGAGTTTCATCTGAGGTTTCGCTGAAGTCAATTTTGCATTTCCATAATAACTTTGATTTTTTGGCATCATGAATAATCGCTTTAAACTTCTCATTTTAAGTAGACCAAATTAATTACTTGGAATTAATTTGATTGCCGGTATGAATAATTTTGTGAGCTTTTGAATAAACTGTTATTCTTCCATCCATAGTATTTTTACAGTCGTGATAATAATTTCTAAACTACAAATGGTGGCAGAATGGATAATTTTTTTGTTATTTTAATCAACTTCAAAGGGTGTTTAGCACCTAGCCTGCAAATTATATGATGTTTACCTTGATCGCTTGATAATCTAATTTTACTAACATTTCACAAACTGCACGAAGTATTGACATTTGCTTCAAAAATTATTTTTAAAGTGAATTGAAATAACTTTTTTTTGTCCCCGGTACAAGAAGGAGATCTGAAATACGAAATATTGTTCCAACGTTTTGTAAAAGCTTGATACCATTCTTGTCCTGTTATACCGTTCGGTGTAAACAGATGACATTGATTTGTAGATACAAAATAACCTCCAACTATTGCAATGACATCTGCGAACGTTTTTCCGAATCCATAATCTGATAAGTACTAGAACAAGAACAAATGTATTTAGCACAATCGTTGTATCACTACCTGGTTAAACTTTGTTGTGCACGCGCTTATGAAGAGTTGCCTTAGTGTATTTTATGCATTTGAAGCTTTATTGAGTGATATTTTGCCATTTTTGATTTGTTCTACTTCAAATTGAAATTTCTTTTTAGTGTAAGTAGTTTGCGCTTTACAAATGTAAGTGCAAGTCATTTTTATTTTAAATTTTTTTAGATATATAGCAAAGGCATATTTACGTTTAAGTTAAATAATAACTATTAGTTAACTTAGACGCGCTCATTTTAATGCATAAGTGTGAGGTTATTAGTTTACAAACTTATTATCAGTGGCGAGAGAGAGAGATTATTGTCAGTGCCGAGGGAGTGGCCACGGCTCTGTTTATTATATTAATTTATCAATAAATATTTCTAAAGTTTTCTCATCTTCTATCTAATGTTTGATCTAATTTAAGAGCTAATTTCAACTTATCTACAATTAAACATTTCTTTCAATACCATATATTTTTATAATAATAATTCTTAATGATGGCAGTTTTTGTTGGTTTTAAACAGAATGATTTAGCAAAGATGTTATTATTTAAGGACACGCTTTATCAAACTGTGAATTTTAAAATTAGATGTAGTTTTGTTTGAGTTTAGTTTTTTTTAACTACTTTTGCTGTTTATATACATCTCATAAACATAATGATGATAAATATTCCAGACTAAACTTCGAAATAGGGGCTTATACCACATTTAGCTGATCATAATTTGATATTTTTTGTCAACAGAAAGACAAAAAGTTTGGATAGTTTCTTTTATTACTTGATTACGATAGTAGACCTTTGTTAACAGTAACATTTGTCAGCAGAGAAATTTGTCACAATTACAAGGCTATCAATTAGAGCTATATAAAAAATGGCTGAGTTTATTATTTCTATAATCTAAAAATCAAAGTTTGCAATTTTATACCTTTGAGTGCAGTAGAAAATACTTAAAATGTGAGAAAATAGAGACCATATTTTCTCCAAATTTTTTGAACGAAGAGAGAGTTAGCATTAGATTTTATTTTTCTACAAGGCTTAAAAAAACCTTTTATTTTATTATTTTCTAAAATATTTTTTTTACCCTGTTTTTACCGACCTTGTTTTTAATTTCTTTATATCTTTCTGTTCCATTGGATTTTCTGATGGCTGTTTCAGTACAACTAATAACATTCCCAACATACAACAAAAACATGCTTACAACTCTAAGTAGCATGCTTGACCTCATCATCACTATCCTCATTGCCTAATCTCAATATACAAAGGAAATTCGCATGGACATACACCAATGGGAACAGCTCACTGTCTCGTAGTCGGTTTTTTTGCAATATACTTCAACAAGAACAAACTAGCATCTCCTAGTCGACGACGGCTTATCTGAAGTAAAACAAATTTTGATGCAATTTCATTACATATAACTTCCAAAGAAATAACAACCAATCTCTCTGTTATTGATCTGTACAATTGGTTTATTGACGTATACAACCAAGCTGTAAAACTGCACATTCCATCAACAATGACTCCATTTAAAATTAAGCGAGATCTTTGGGTCACACCAAAAGTTTTGGAAGCAGTCAAAATTAAAACGTATTACTTGGCCAAAATACGTTGCTGCTGGTAAAGATTCCCATGCAAAACTACGTAATGAACATCAGGCTGCATGCAAACACGTTATTAAAGTGGTCAATGCGGCTGTCCTTCATTACGAACAACAACTAGTAAGCAGTTTCAAGGAACTCCCAAAACGTTTGTGCTCACACGTAAAAAACAAGCTTAAAGTACATAATCACATTAGTATGTTTGAAACTAGCAATGGTAACATCACCGAATATTCTAAGTTTATAATTTCAACGATAAACAATTATTTTCATTCAGTTTTTGTCGAAGAACTCTTAACACCTTTACCAATATTTGAAGAGAGAACAAAATTAACTTGCAAAATCGACAAAAGTTTGTTTACAGCTGCAACAGTACAAAACTACTTATTCTGCCTAGACGACACTAAATCAATGATTTGATGGAGTACATCATCGTGTTCTAAAAAAACTTTTTTAATACCTCTTTCACTCATTTTCAAGCAATCCTTACAAACTGGAAATGTCCCAGATCTTAGGCGTAAATCAAATGTTACTCCTATCTTCAAAAAACGAAACAAACTCAAGGCTTGTAATTATAGGCCGGTATCTCTTACCTCTGTACCGTACAAGGTAATAGAGAGAATTATAAAAGAGAGGATTTTGAAACACTGTACACTACACAATGTAATTTCAAAATCTCAGCATGGATTTGTAAATCCATGCTGAGATTTTGAGTTTTTCAATTAAATTTGTAAGTCAACCACACAGAGGTTGTCTTACAAATTTAATCAAATCCCTTGACATTCTCATGGAGATGAAGCTTACGTGGACACATTGTTAACATAATATTTACAGACTTTGGCAAAGCTTTTGACACAGTACCAGACAAAAGACTCCTTCCAAAGATTCATGCCTACGGCATTAGAGGCCAGCTATTCCACTGGATCTCTGCTTAGCTAAGTGTGAGAAAACAACGTGTAGTTATTGGGGAACAAACCTCCGATTGGAAAAGAGTTACAAGTGGAATCCCTCAAGGATCAGTATTTGGACATCTGCTATTTGTACTTTTTTTTAATGACTATCCAGATGGCATTAACAATTATACCAAGTTATACGCCAATGATAGCAAGATTATAGAAATTATAAATAATAATCAATTATCCTCTGATTATGAAACACTGCAAACGGACATTGAAAACGCTGTAAGTTGGTCACATAACTGGCTTATGCACTTTAACATCAAGAAGTACTAAGTAATGCACGTTGGTTGCCGCAAAAATAAA